TGCGAAAGCTCTTGATCTGGACAAAACGCGCGTTTGGCTTGAGTTTTGGCCTCGACGCCGTCTGGCGCCAACATGAAAATGTCTCCCAGCGCACGGCCCCGTACAGGCGCCGTCACCATTTTTTTGTGTTTTCTTGTGTTTTTGCTGTTGTTTTTTGTGTGTTTCCATACAAAACACATATGTATCTTAGGACTGCCCCCAGTGCTAAACACATATGTGTCTGATTGTCTTGTGTGAGAGGTCTTGGGTTTTGATGGGCCAGTTTCGAAACACATGTGTGTCTTCCAGGCCGTTTTTTTAAACACATACCTAGACCCTCTGTGTACGTAAAATAATGGCCCAACCTTGAGACACCTCATAAAGTAGCCCACCCCCCTAACAATAGCCTTTTTCGAAACAAGCAGCCCATCTCGAAATCTCTAAAACAGGTTTAGCCCACTGAAAGCAAAACCAGCCAACCCTGAATAGAAGTAGCCCAGCCCAAAGCATGCAACGTCCAAGGAAAATCATCATCCCAAAGACAGAATCTATATGCAAGGTCGACCCATGGCTGCCGAGCCACAAACTACATCTCTGGGCTTTCGTCTGGGTTAGGGCTTGTCGGGGCCTAGGATTTGATGAGGTATGCGGGCATGGCAGGATGGTTCAAGCTGGCTTCGCACTCGACACATCTTTTTGCACAGTGATCTCACATCCAGGTTTGAGCAAGGTTCCCATGCAGCACAGAATATGACAATGCTTTTAAAGATTGCACAACGATGCGCATCATCGACCTGCCCATCCGGACCACAGAGCCGATAACTCAGCGCCAGTTGCCCCTGCCTTTCAGTTTCAGGTTTGATTTCCTGGGCTTTTTGAGCAACAGTTTGGTCTTGACAAGGTGTCGCTGGCGGGACCTCAAAGCAGTGCCAGAAGAATGCGTCGAACGGCACACTCTTGCTATGCGCCCTATGAAATCTTCGCATTGGGAGCAATCCATCATAAGAGGATTCACCATGGCCTCGCATGAAGTCTGTATGGAAATATCTACTTCCACTGCGAAATGCTGCATTCCGTGTATCGTGGTTTTCAACGAATAAGCAGGGAATTTCTCCATCAAGCATTCTGTAGCCAAGTAGCTGTAGCCCCGAGTGACTCTCAAGAGCTCGTCCCGTAACACCACCATGCATGATCGTGGAACAAGCAAGCCGTGAGAATAGAGTAGGCGGAACACATCACCACCAGCTTTGCATACCTGCTTCGCCACTCGCAAAAGGTCAAGTCTTCGGTGGCCCTCGAGAGCAGCAGCCGCCAGGCTCAACTCGAAGTAAAGCCACTGTAGCAATACCATCGTGTCTGAGCCTTTGCTGTTTGTCCAGGGAAAATTGTCGACACGGGGAAGATGCATGAACTCCTTCGTAAACCCCCGTAGGTGTAGCTGGCGTCCTTCGGCACTGGCCCACAAAACCAAACGAGAGTGAGCCCTTTTGAGGCGGTTCTCAAGAGCAAGCGAGTCTCCTTCATGATCAAACCATCCAAAAAAGCGCGCGAGCAAGCAGATAGTGGAACCAGCAATGTCACGGCCAAGTCCAATTTTAAAAGTGTGTAGCAAGTCCCTCTTGTACTTTCGTGCTGGCATGCCTTCGTCAAACGGGATGAGCTCCAAAGGTCCTGCCTGGAACCACGGTTCAGATTCGAAGAGGGTTTCGACCCAACGTGCACCAGAAGAGGTATCCTCAAAAGGGAATAAAGGGCCCCCTCCGAGACATTCATGGCAAATCGGCTTGTTTTTGACATCCGCCAGGTGGTTGTAACTCCGAATGAAACGTCCAGTAGCAGCATGCCACTTCTGATCTCCTTTCAGAGCCAGCAAAGCTCCATGGAAGCGAATACCACGAACATCTATTCCAGTGTCGAACAACTGCTTCAAATCACGAGCACATGCAGCCAGAGCCGCATTCAAGACTTCGGGTCCCTTCTTTACCAGATATGTTGGCAACACAAAAACCAGGTGCCTTGTCAAAAACGAATGGCTCGAGGTTGTAGGATATTGAGAAAGGAGTTCACGAAAATCCTCGTCAGTCAGCTTGAAGCTTTGATCTCGAGCTTTCGGCCAGGAATCTGGGACCTTGCAGCACTTCTCGATCTTGGAGGAATACTTGTTGCAGGCAGAGCAATCCGAAAAGCAGCTTTGTGACTTCAAGTGTTTTGTCTTGTCGGTTTCATGGCCCCAAACTGATTGCCAGTTGACGATAGATACAGGGGATTTCTTGGATCCAGTGCCCTCATCGCCGTGAACAAGTAGTGGTATTACGTGCGAAAGTTGATCCATACTAAACTTCTTGAAGACTGCATGCGAGGGATGTGTCTGATAGTATGCTTTCCAAAAGGACAGGCAGCGCTGCTCTGGGTTGTTCGTATCGGACCAAATGCACCCGGGATAGCATTCTAGAAGTTTCTTCAAATAATCAGATGGTTTCAGATATGGTATCTTCAAGATCTTACCATTCAGTTGTAACACCTCCCAGCTGATCGTCACAGGCAGCGATAGCCCGAAAACCCCAAATAGGCGGTGCAGGGACTTCTCAGAATCTTTCTCCGGAGCATTCGATGCCTTCAGGATTGCCTCACATGAGTGACCATCTGCTCTGGCAGCAGCACTCGCTCGAACAACATCTGCACAAGCAGCCTTGGACCCGGATGTTCAACATGGGTTTCTTTTGTCCGAATTTATCCCATGCACCAGCCGAAACTTGGTATCGTTGGGACATAATAGTTTGGGGCTCTAAACTGTCAAGTTCCAGATACATTGGGTATTTACACACTGCAATGATTAGAAAGCTCCTAGGGTACGAGCCAGGATGCACCGTCACTGACCATTTCCGCCAGCCGATGCATCAAGTGGCTCGCTTCCTTGGGTTGCTCTGCGTCATTCTCACCTGGCACGCTTAAGCTGCGATGGTTGACAACAAGGTTTCAGCTTTCATTGTTCGTGAAAGCAAGCGCCCGAGCACATCCGACCCGAAACAAGTCCGACCAGAAGCACATCTTTTTGCAGCTTCAGAGCCTACCCCGGCGTGACTTGGAGGTGCAACCACGGCATCGACACAGTGCGCAGGCAGAGGCCACATGTTTCCGAGCAGTGATTGTGTTATTCTCCTCAATATAGTTGCCAAATTAAATCACGTGGCCACTGCTAGCTGCTAGCACTACCGATAGAACCAAAACAAATCTTGATCAACATTGATCAAACTACTTCTTCGCCCTCTTAGCGGAGGGTGTGTCGGGGGGAGCAGCTTTGGCTTTACTTTTCTCCACTTTCGGAGCAAGCTTGACCTTTGGGGCAGCAGTTTTCTTGGGCGCCGCTGGCTCACGTGGCAGCAAGCTCCTCAACAAACTTGGGTAGGGGAGTGAGGTTTGATTTGGCATTGCTTAGTATTCTTACGGGTTCGGGTTTCGGGCTGTCCGAATGAAAGTTGGTTGGGTCGACCAATTTTCGGATCGGTATTGGAGTTGCGCAGCTGTGACATTTCAGTCCTCGCACGAGACTCGAGGGCCAAGGAGTGCACTGCCCTGAGGCCAGAAGCGGTTCATGTAGCATAGACCGTATGGGATGAAAGTATAGCGAAAGAATCCCAAGCTTTACACCCCTATAAACCCTGTATACGTCCTTATAACAATAAACACCCCTACATAAACCCTATGGATCACTCCAAAAACCCTATAACCTGAAACTTCATATAGAATTGAAAAAAAGCAACACAAGACTTTCAATGATGGACTTCTATAGAGGTCTCTGTGTCCGAGGCTGGCTGCTAGCTGATCAGTACAATATGGAAGCGTCTAGGCAGGAGCCATTGGTACATACCTTACATTGACAAAGCCTAGGCTTACACAGAAGCACTAGCAGTTTCGAGCAGCAGGACCCCAAAAACCTCACATCCAAACCGAGGGAGACACCTTAAATGAAGGCTGCAACCTTGATGATGTTCAACTTTTTGAAACCCTCAAGCTCTGAAAAGACGATTGTGTGAAGCAGCTCTTTCTTGATGTCGGTGATGAGCATGGTCATCTCCGACTCCAACCTAGGATGTTAGTTGGGAGGATCGGAGTATCTGGGGTGTTGGCTTGAGCTTATGTACATGGGGAGAATGGTTCGAGGATACGAAGACTGCTTGAGTCTAGGCTACGTCTCCGTGAAGCCATCAACAGCACCATCTGTGTGCTTCTCGGTAAGTTGATCCTCGAGCTCCTGCATCCTGCGGCACGCTGCTGCCACCTGCTCGCTCATCCTCAGTCAGAAGCTGTGTAGCAGAGCCGCATGCAATCAAGTAGACCATAGATAAGACAATCACAGCTAAGGGTCTTCTGAAGTTTTTCTGGCAGTTGGCCCGGTTTGCCCACTTCACCAGCTTTGCGCAATTCATCATAGGAATCCAAGAGGGTATACAGCTTGGACTTCCGTTTGTTCATGCAATCAGTCATCCTGAGCGCATACGAGCTGGGTCTAGCATCAGCATCCACCTCAGGTATCCCAGCGCGCTTTCGCAGCATTACGACCTCCTTTGGATCCTGTAGGCCCGACTTCTGCAAGTCTTCCGCAGACACAGCCCTCTCTTCTTCACCTGGAGCGATCGAAAACCGGACCAGAATCTAGAACCCGAACAACCCCAACCCAGGAAGCCCCAGACCTATAGTCAGCATCAGTATCATCATCATCATTATCATCACCACCCTATAGTCACCATCTTCACCACCAGCACCAGACAGCCACCATCGTTCCCACCACGACCATCATCATCATCATCAACAATATCACCATCACCATCACACCAGTACCCCCATCGCCCTCAATCACCATCACCATCTCACCAGCACCCCAACCACTATCACCATCACCACCATCGTCATCACCACCACCACCATAACCCGCATCATCTTCCTCATCACCGTCAACTATTCCAACCATCAGAATCGTATCTGCGGCCATGTTAATCTCATGGGTTACCATCGCCTCTTTTCATCTAAGAGGCTTCGGATATGTGGTTTGACATGCTGATGTTCTTCATGTGTACATACATCTGCAGGCAGACATGGACAGACATAGAGAGGAATAGACAGACACAGACATACATAAGGTGCATGTGCATTTACGTATGCATGTATGTATGTGTGTATGCATGCATCCATGTATGTATGTATGTATGTATGTATGTATGAACACACGTATGTACGTGTGTATGTATGTATGTATGTATATGTATGTATGTATATGTATGTATATATATATGTGTATATATGTATGTATATATGTATGTATATATGTATGTATATAT